TATCAGTACGCGACCCCCCAGATCTCCCCCCTCTCCCCCCGCGCCGCCCTTACCAATTTGAAAAAACATCTAAAATCTTACATTTTTTGAAAAAAAAAAGAAACAGGGGCGGGACTAGGGGGGGGGGGCGGGGGGGGCCCCCCCCCCCCCCCCCCTGAGATGACCTGCGGTTTTCTAATACAACTGGTATTCTGCCCTCCCAAAAAAACTATGTGGTTTATTGGTGTTAAAGTAGAGCAAGAGGCGAGTGCACCCCCTCCTAAAAAAAATCCTGGATCCGCCCCTGGGAAATGTGGAAATATGTCTTCCTTGTCTTTGTCTAATAACTCTGGAAGTGTGGAAATGTGGAAATGTGGAAATATGTCTTCCTTGTATTCATCTAATAACCCTGGAAGTAAGAAAATGTGGAAATGTGGAAATATGTCTTCCTTGTCTTAATTTATCTCAAAACTCTGGAAGTGTGGAAATGTGGAAATATGTCTTCCTTGTCTTCATCTAGTAACTCTGGAAGTGTGGAAATGTGGAAATATGTCTTCAATATCTTTGTCTAATAACTTTGGAAGTGTGGAAATGTGGAAATATGTCTTCCTTGTATTCATCTAATAACTCTGGAAGTAAGGAAATGTGGAAATATGTCTTCAACGTCTTCATCTAATAACTCTGGAAGTGTGGAAATGTGGAAATGTTTCTCCACTGTCTTTATCTGTTAACACCGGAAGTGTGGAAATGTGGAGAAATGTGTCCTCATTGTCTTTATCCAAACACTTTATCCAAGTGTGAAAATCTGGAAAGGCGTCTGGGATTATTTGGGAATTAAAAATAGGACTCGCTTGCGGCGAAATTACTTGCTTTACTTCCGATTGCTGTCAATCGCAAGACAGTCTTATTGCTAGTTTCAGCTCACGGCCCGGCCGCATATTTTTGTAGTTGTTTGTTTGGTAGGAAAATGGACGCCCCTGACTGTTGCGGGTTTGGCTTTTAAGAAATAAGATTGGCGACCAAGAAAGCACGAGGATTTGCTTCACTAAGGATTTTGAAGCTCTTTACACTATCAACTTTTAAATAAACGCATAAAAAAGCGCAATCGTAGTTTGCTCTGACAAACGTACTTATGCATCTGTCTCAATTTATAATGGTGGTGTGGGCCTGCTGATGAACGTGGAAATGGAGGACACTCTGAGATACATACATTTGGAGAGGGAGTGCTGTACACTCTGTAGATTGTTCGACGGAGACTCAATATACATCAACACTGGGAGTAGTAACTCCAGGCAAGAGATCGAACAATCTAGCCTAGCGATAGGTGGATTTATGCAGGTACATAATTCTTGGCCATTACATTGTCTATACTCATTCCTTTTTATGATGGTTTTGTGGTTGCAAGAAAAAGTAGCGCTCGATTTCGAGGCATTGCAAAAATAGCGCTCAATTAATATATCACCAAGTGTTGACGCCAAATTTCATGCAAACGGAAATGGCGCAAAGATAATTTTTTAGCAAACTTAGGGCGGGAAATTTCATGCCAACAGAAATGGCGCCAAAATAACATATTACTAACTTTGTGCGCGGAATTTCATACAACAAAAAATGGCGCGAAATTAAATTTACTAAGCTTTGCGCGAAATTCAAGTGTTTAGTTCTGACTTACCAAATTGTTAAGCGCATCTTTTCATCTTTCACAATGTGGCATCCACAACGCCGACATTTTACAATACAGAAAACATATACGAGCGAAAGAGCTCAATTATACATGTATTCCTCCATAAGTATAAAGGATTCAAAGAAGCCTCTTTTCGGAAAGTTCTGGATATAATAAAAACTCTACTAAAAGAAAGATTGAAGGTGTACAAAACCTCAGCAGCTAAGGGTATGAGTTCTCTTTCCCAGGTGAGACAATTCTTCAGTGAAATCTATCCAATGATGGTGGCAAGTCAGTCCAGGTTCGATCTTAGATTTTTGATCGCTATTTTGTGCCCGAAGGCATTAACAAGAAAACAGACGCAACCTTTTGCAGAACAGCTGAGTGACACCCACCTCACCAACCTAAACGAGCTGTACAAGGCCATATATAATGATCACAAACATGGAGATGTTGTGTACTCTCTAAATGAAGAGGTCTTGGATGTCTATGACCAGTTCGATGAGCAAATTTGCACCAAATTGAACAACCAATGGCAAAATGGTCAGTTTCTGCAAATGAAAACTGCAGCTTCAGAGGGCGGAAAAGAGAGACGCCTGGTCCTAAGACTGGCTGTGACGCTGTTTGTTGTGTACAGCTATATCTGCCGACCACTATTTTACTTTTATGGGCCAGTGCCCTGAATCATCCCCAAGCAGTATATGGAATATGCAATTAAATTGATGACCTACTTTCAGCAACAGCACAAAGAAATAGACAAGGTAGGAATAATGTCATTTATTTTGTTTTTCTGCCCATATCTTTTCATTTCATACTCCTCTCGACTGGGACTGGGGGCTGACTTGATTTCAGGTCAGTTTTCCAGTAAAACCACTCTGAATGAAACCTAATTTCTTCAGTTTCCTGACCCTAATCACTAAACGCCAGCAGGATAGTCCATTTTGGGATAGTCTATAAGGGTAGTCCATGGGGATATTGCATGGACTGGGGAGCAGAGTTTTTTGCACCACCTTTGAACATGATCCCTAGCTACTTCCATATAAAATGTAAGAAAACTCGAACCCAAAAAGTTTCCTACTTATTGCACATATCTGGCAAATAGAGATTTTGGTGAAAAGCCTGACAAAATGATAATATGAATCATGTTCATTAGCCCACCATGGTTTCTTGTTCTGATAAAAAATGTATATATATATATATATGTATGTTTCCATTAAGAGCATCATTATGTTTTTCTTCAGATCATGTTGGGTGAGGAGGTGGAGAGTCAAGATAGCCTGATAGACAAGATTGTCAGTTTTCCAGGACCAGTCTGTACAGTCTCCAATCTCAGGGCATGTGCCTCCTCTGAAACGAGAGTGGAATGGTCTCCAGCTGTTGTGAAAGACGCTATGTCAGACTTGGCCAGAGCTGGAATTGGAGAGACAGTCACCTTGGAAAGGACTGTTGATTTTGTCAAAAACCCACCTGACCATGTAACTGACACTGCCCTTTCTCAAAATACTACTCTCAGCAAAGAGCAGCACAAGGAGTGGTTCCTTTTCCAGGATATGAACCTCTCCAATAGTAAAAAGGATGGTCTGATCGCCAAAGCAAGACTATCAAGGGAGATTCAGGGTTACCTGACTCAAAACAAGGAAAATTAGGGACTCAATAATGAATGATTTCATCACTAGCAAACACTTCATTTGTTAGCTATGTAATTCATGATGGTTGACTGATTATATTACAGGCTTACCAGCTTTTGGTATAAAGCTTTTTAGTTAATTCCCTGGATCTTGCGACCAGATAGTTATCGATACCAACATTTACACCTTCTCTAAAATAAATATTTTCAGAGCGAAAGTGCTCCAATCAAACTGACCAACAGCCTGAATCCCACACAATTGCAAAGAACATTTTTTTACAAAAAGAAGAGCTTGAAAAATTCTACTCTGTTCTTAAATTGGGAGGAAATATCTGAAAATGCTAAATAATATTATACTTGATACATTGAACCTGATGTGGCATGTAGGGATTTTGATGATTGCCATTTTTGAGATCATGTGATTATGGACTGAAATGTACATAGATTTCTTATACTTACGGGCTGAATTTGAAATTATCTATTAACCGGAAAAAACAGTCGAGTATAACCTAGTTTGTTTCAGTCTAAGGTCCTTAGTCCTTACCACTGAAATTGACTGAAAGTTTCCGAAATAGTCTCATTAGGATTTGTATAAATTACATAATGGTGATAGGACTGTTTTGCTATGTAATGATACGAGTTGGATTGATTAACAAAATCAGACAACACGAAGTTCATTTACAAATTTATTGTACCCATTTAAATCGATAGTTTTTTTTAAGTTTTGTTTTGAATTAAAAGTAAGCAGAAGATATTTGAAAGGCGCTTGTGACAGAAAAATAGTTTCATTCTAAGGGAGGGCGCCGGGCTGTACATAAACTACCTGTACGATTACTTAATTAGGCATAATGTGTACTGGCCTTTTATATTAGATTTTGTTTTAGTTATGATCACCTTGAGAAATTTGAATCTTACTTTCACAGTACGAGGTCGCATTTTCTAACACATATTAAATGCCAGGCAAAATAATGTGAACAATAGTGAAAAGAGATCAGTTAAAGCCATAGGCTCGATTACCAGCCGCTGTTCGGGAAAATGAGCCCGCACTCATCCCCCGATGACCCGGGAGACAGCGGAAATCGAGCCTACCATAAAGAAAGCGAAGACGAGATGTGGTCACAGCGCAGGGTGTCGACATTTTACTTCTTTTAGTATTTTGATAGTTCATCGTCATTTGGAAGATATAAAATTATTTTGTGATATTCGTCTGCGAACTGAACATGAATATATGTAGTAATCACTAAGTTTTAAATCGTTTGATCTTAGAGGTACAGACTACAACTTGGTCAGGTAAAAAGGATATGCATGTACATGGATAACTTTAAATACATTTCAAAGAACATTACCCAAACGAAAGTGACATTGGGTTGTAAATGCATTCGGCGTGGCCTTTCTCAGTAATCCTTACGTACATCAAAAATCCGTCTTATGTGTTTCAAAGAAAAACCCAAGTTCAGACATTTTAGTCTGGAAAAACAGACTTTGATGAAAAAAATCCTAACTGAGACGCATTTTATCGGACCAAGGTTCATAATCTTAAGCATGGTGAAATGCAAACCACCATAATGTTTTTTTTTTCGTACCTCTTTTTTATGCGTTTTTTTAAAAGTTGATAGTGCAAAGAGCTTCAAAATCCTTAGTGAAGCACATCCTCGTGCTTACTTGGTCGCCAATCCTATTTCTTGAAAGCCAAACCCGCAACAGTCAGATTCTGTACAAAAAGGCCGTCCATTTTCCTCCCGAACAAACAACAACAACAAGACGCTACGGAGCGTACACTTCGGCGTCGTGGTTGTGGAACTAATTAACTGAAAATGCGGAGGAATAGTAAGAAATCAAATACGGTAAGCGTAAGGTGTTAATTTGTGACATTATGGGATTTGTCAGGATATTCTGAAAAGAGCAACATCCAAGAGGCCTACTTGCCAAAAACTAGGATTTCGAGACAAATTGTCTCCGAGATATTAGCCCAGTTATGCTCTGATGACTCCATACAAATCCTTCTAAAAAAACAATTCTCTTTTTTTCTTAGTCACATCAGGCTTCAAAAACAGCATAGCAGTCTCATGTACTGAGCATGGGTAAGGAGTCAGGGGTACCCAACGACAATTTTCGGAAAATATCTGTTCGGAAGATGATTTGAGATCTAGAATTTTCGGAACATTTTTTCCAAAATTTCTTGCTTGTCTTCCTCTCCTAGGATTTTCGAACATCTAAAAAATGGTATAATTGCCCATTTTTAACCGATTTTTACCCTAAAAGGGTCACCTACAATTTTCAAGAGCCTTTTTTCTGGCTGAAATTTTCGAAAAGGTAAGTTTTGATCCCTATAATTTTCGAATCACTAGACTTTCAGCTGGGAAATCCGAACAGATGAAAAATTTTAGGGGACAAAAATATAACAACAACAAACAACAACAACATAAGCTTTATTACCAAATAAAAGTTAACTTAATTTAAAATATAATATATTAATACAAAACAAGGTAACATTTACTCAGAATAACTAAAAAGCTAATCGAGCTGAGTAAAGCTAAATAATGTTCGGGCATAGGAGGTAGGTTGGCACTAAAGCTAGAACAAACAAGGAATTAGTAAATAGATAAAAGGAAAAAAATGAAAAAGAAAAAAAAAAAGACTCACGAACAGTAAAACTGTATCACTGTAAGATGTTTGACATGACTTTGTTTTTAAAGGGTTTAATGGGGAGGTGTTTAATGCTTTCATCAAGGTTATTCAAAACTTTTACAGCCGCAAAGCGAAAGTTGAATTTACCATAGTTTGTTTTGATAGTATTGAGGTAATAGGTTGATTTAGAAGCAAGCCCGGTATTGTATGAGTGTATGGATACTACCGTTTTAAAGAAATTTTCAAAGGAAGATGGAAGAAGATATGGTGAATAAAAAAATATGCCTATATCTACCGTTTTAATACTAAAATACGTTTAAAATACGTTTAACAATGCTATGTTTAAGTGGTTTTGAACTATATTCTCGTTGGGTGCCCCTGAGGAGTCAATTACCTTGAGCATGGAATTGGCTAAAACTCAAAGTCACGAGTTCGAATGTTTTGAGGATAATTATTCACTGACTATCAGCACGCAGGGATGTCGGATTAACACAAGGAAGTTTAACACCAAAGGAACATAGCCTTTACAGAGCTTTAAAACACAGCAGCCACTAACACAAACTTGACTTGAACTTTGAGTAAAACTAAACAGCCTCTACCAATAATAACAAACTGTCACTTGAACTTCAAATATCTTACGACTTCCGCGAACTTGTAAACACAGAACCTGAAAATCGACTTTCGGCACACTTGACTAAACACAGCAGTCCAGCTCGTGGGAAAAAACTTAGTTCGTCAAAAGAACTTGCTTGGAACTTGTATACCGTTTGACATAAGGTTCTAGAAAATACTAAACAGGCGAATAGTAGTAGCTTTTCGACATATTTTACGATTTCAGTAACTGATGCAAATCTGCTGACTCATGCTGAAATGTAAACATGCCCTAATTAATTATTCATGGCTAATCCAAAAACGCAGAGAACGTTCGAGAAAGTCACGCAACGCATGAAAGCAATTTTACTACGTAACACTCAACAAAGACAAAATGTCTTTGTGCAGCATTTTGAAACTTTAAATTCATCATAAAAAAGTTCGAAAGGAGGGCTCACTCGTGAAATGTTTTTCAACACTCGAAGAGAAATTTCCTGTCTCTGCGCGGCCACGAAATATCCTCTATTTATTCCTCGAGTAATTAAAGACTAAACTCGAAGTGATCTCAAGATCTCGCGAAGTAGTCCGGTCTCATTTCGTGAAATAGTTAACAAGCCGAGAAGTCACGAACTTGCACGCCCAATCTTGTCCCGAAACTAGTGCATCATTTCACAACTATTTTTCATTTCCCAAACTACCTTGGGTCGCAGTAGCGCAATCGGCTAATCCCTCAACTTAAGAGTCTCCTCTGATCTGACGGGTCACACAGGTGAGTCGGTTCAAACCCCGGGAAAGCCAAAATAACAAGACGCTGTGTGAGCGTATATTTGGGCGTGGTCGTACTACCGGTATGATACTTTGAACATGCCTTATTGCAGCTAAAGAACTGTCATCATATCTTACCAGAGAAGAAAAATCCTTTACTCCCCTAGTTTGCTGAACCACACAGCTTATATAGTATGTCCCAATCCACAACAAAAATAGTGTCACTTTACGACAATGTTTGAAAATATGCACATCTTCAATGCAGACATGCTTGGAGCCAAATTACAACATAGGACATAAGTGGTTACAGCCCAGAGAGTAAGGTTTATCTCAGCTCCACTGATACTGACAGATGTGTTTTAACACCCATCACTTTGTACAGTGTATTCCGGTTACTAACAAGGGCAAATAAAGTTCCTTAAGTCCAGTATCCACAAGGATTAATAAGAGAGTAACACATTGCATAAACTGCTATGGGGCAGCACTGTTTACAGGAACATTGGTAACTATTAACATTTGATATACTACAATTTTCAACATTGCTTGAGCAAAGATGAGGTTCAAAGGTGGCAATATGTACACCTTTCAGTTCATATATATCCTCATTCCTATGTAGAGTTTGAAAATATTGTACTAATTTATGCATGGATGGTATTTCCAACAATACACATGTCCCTTCACTATGACTGTTATGATACATATCTCTAGCATGAGAATCAAATGCATTATATCCCCCAGCCTCAGTGCTGTAGATACCAAGACCAACAATTGCCACCATTAAAATGAATGAGTTGTAGTTCAGTACCAAGAGTGTTGCAAATGCTGTAACCTGTGAGTGGCATATACAGTAGTGATGGGTGTTACAAGTATAACTGTCACAGTATTCAAGGTGGAAAAATTGCTCAAACACTGTAACCATTCCTGGCAATTCTGTTTAACCCACTGACATAGATTGTCTTGCAAGCAGTGACAGACAAGAATATAATTGAATACTAACAATCATTATTTGAGTCATATCATCAACTGAAGTAATCT